ATATATTTATTAAAAAATTATTATTTTTAAATTTGAATCAAAGGTGGAAAAAACTTTAAGTTGTAAATTTAAGTTAAAACTTAGAGTCACAACTTTTGAACATTATTTCATTGGTACATACCTTTTTACTTCCATACACTTACTCATATTTCTAATTAGTTTTTCTTGTGATTCAATATCTCACTTTACCATCTCACTTTTCAGACTCTAAACTATATGTACCCATACTTTCCCTTTCTCTAATAATAATTTTTTGATTACTATTATTTTCCTCCTTGTCCTCATTTAATATTATTCCTACTTAGTTTCTCTGTGTATCATCATCTATCATTATATATCTTTTTACCTAATTTTCTTTTTATCTATTATTAGATTTTTTTTTTTTTGTTTTCTCATGGTTATAATAACACATAAATATCTTAGAATCACAAATAATTCAATAATATATGTAATAAATTTATACATATATCAACAAAATTATAAAATTTAACCAATATAAGCCTACATTATCTCCGTTTTTATCCCCTTTTCATATTAATAATCTATTTGTTATTATTCATTTTCTCATTATCCTCTTATCTCTATCATTCTTTCTTAGTAATTTTTTTTAAAGAAAAATTCTTTATCTATTAAAAAATATATTTTTTAATGCCATTTTTTTCCTCTTGATACTTTTCACTTGCCTATACTTCACTTTTCGTTAAGTTTTCATGAGACTTCATCTCTTAGTTCATTCTTATACATTTTATTATTATACTTATCTATCTATTCTACATTTGCTCTCATTTATCAATAATAATTTGATTGTTATTAATTTTCTTCCATTAGTTATTCTCTCAATATTATTGCTTCTTGGTTACTTCTTACATCTTATTTACTATTATATAAAAATTTTACCCCATCAATATTTATTATTATATATCATTTTTACTCCAATCTCTCTCTTTCTCTCTCTTTCTCCTCCCTTATTTTGTGTTTATTAGAATTACTTAACTTTGTCTCAATGAATATATTGAAATTCTCAAAGGCCTCTAACTTTACCATTTTTTAAAATTTTTTAATATATAGTTTCGACTTTTGATAAAGAAATTGTCAAAACATTTTAAAGTTTCTCATATAGTCTCTTTCATTATTTTTAGGATCCTTGTAGATGTTTTTACTTGTAAGTGTTATCTACATTCACATCAATTGTACGTTACAATTTGTAGTCATTTATAATTTTTGATAATTTAGTAATCATTATTAAGAAATATGTTTATAAAAAATTATTTACATCTTAATCATTACTCTCTTAGTTCAAGAATAATGGAGCAAATAAGAATCAATTTGTGAAATTCACTTTGAATATAATATAATTTGTCTCTGTGAAACATAGTATATAATTAAAGTAGAAGTTGGATTATATATTTGGGTAAATTGTTTTAAACTTTAATAATATGTAGATGCAGAAGTCACATTACTATATGGCAATTGAGGTGAAATTTTAAAATGATTGGTCAGAAATTTGATAGAATTAAAGTATTATTATAATATAGTAAGATATAATTGAATTTGAACTTATAATAAGATATAATTGAATTTGAACTTAAACTATTTTATTTATACAATTAAAGTTATTGAACTAATTTGGAATTGAATTATAAGCGAAGTTATTAGATTTATTTATTTTTTGCCAAATTAATTTGTGAAATCAAACCAGAATTTTGATAATTAAAATTATAATTACATTTATAATTATTTATTAAAGATTATTTATTTGATATTTTAGAGGAATTTTAAAAGATTTATTGAGTATATATTTAATATTTTTAAAGCTTCATTGGCTATTTATTTAATATTTATTGAAGATTTTTAATAAATTTTATAATATAGTAAAACATAATTGAGTTTGGCTTTT